CCCCAAAACCCCAAAACCCCAAAACCCCATATGCGAATATTATTTATTTTCTAGCTGATTATGTTTTAATGAAATTAAATTACAAAAAGAATCATATAGCTGCTGCTGGCTATATATTGATGCCTAAATTTATAGAATTTGTATTTTCTGATCCTACATCATCTTAATTACTCTGTTCTTAATCTTATTTCATTTTACTGATTGCAGATACTCTTTCATTGATGTAATCATTTAAGGCTTATTTAAGCATCTCCTAGCGTTCTTTATCTTCAGGAAGTCTAATTGCATCTTCATCATTTTCATCATCAATGTTTATACTTGATACTAATGACATAAGTGATTGTCTTTGAGAATCTTCACTGTCCAGAGAAAAACTATCTTATAGTAGTTGCATTTCCATTTGCTAAACCTTTTTATCTCTGTAATCGAAATAAAGTCTAATTAGATCACCTGCAAAGAATAGCATTAGATAGAAGAAAAATCTGTTAAGTTCAACGAATTCCACAACAATATCAACCCATGGCGGGATGTACCAATACTTGTCGTGCAATTTTTTCCTATAAAGATATTCCGATCTTACATCCTATCCATTATAAGGATGATACCAATCAGGCTTTTTATATCCAGTCCATTTAGTATGATAAAAATCAGTGATTGTCCTTGGCTGATAATATGTCTTTCCAGTGAATTCATCCTAATACACAGATTGATCTTAAGTAGTCTACCCATCATTTATTCTATTCTCAATATCATAGGTCTGTCTACTAATAGGGTTTGCCAGCACTTCATAAGCCTTATTGATCTTCTTAAATATCTCAGTTGATTTCTCAATATCACCTTCAGTATTAAAATCAGGATGGTATTTTTTTGCCATCTTGTAGTACGCCAGTTTTATTTCTTTCCCTGATGCAGTAGTCTTAACTCCCAGTACCGTATACAAATTTTCCTCCTGTTTGTGAAAATTGAGCCTAAAAGATCTAGACTGTAGTCTAATGAGAGACCTAGAATTTTGCTGGAAAATTCTAAATTTCATTAAAGTCTAGTTCATATTCATTTTATTATACTTATAATAATTACAAAACCACCTCAATATCAATTTCTAATTGCAAAGGGGGTTTTGGGGTTTTGGGGTTTTGGGGTTTTGGGG